AACCGGAGGTGGGGAAAGCGACACGGTCAGTCCAAAAGTGGACGAAGCAACGAAGACCCCAGAAGCCAAGGCAGGACATGGCGAAGCCGAAGACGGCGATAACACTGGTGCAACCCAAGGTGGGGAAGATGGCACGGTCAGTCCAAAAGTGGACGAAGCAACAAAGAAGCCAAACCCTGATGACCAGGATGAGGCAACAATGACCCCAGAGGTCAAGACAGGGCATGGAGAAGCTGAAGACGATGATAACACTGGTGCAACTGGAGATGGGGAAGGTGACACGGTCAGTCCAAAAGTGGACGAAGCAACAAAGGAACCGAATCCCGATGACGACGACAACGCAGTGAAACTTGATAAAGTTGGGAAGAATTCCACGGAGGACGACGATCAATACACCAAAAATGATACGGATAACAATAAGACCGACGACGATGAAACTAAACCTCAGATCTTGGTTGAAACCTACGGCAGCTCATCGAGAAATAAAAACGAGACGTTGCCGTTTGCAGCAAGAAATACTACAAATGGCGCGGAGGTATCGAATGTTACCGATGTTGCCATAGAGAACTCCACAATGACATCGCTGTACTCCCTGAATGGTACCGATTCCATCCTGTCGCTTTCGGCTGGTACAAACAACAGCTCGATCGGCAATACAAGCACCCTAGACAGTGGTATTCTCCCCACTAACACAACGAAACCTTCAACCGATAGTAGCGACAAAGATATACCAACGAACTCTTCGGCGGTGGCCAACACAACCGCACCATCGACTTTTGCTGGAGAAAATGTCGCCATCCTCGCCGAAGACTTTAACGCTACGGCTTCCAACGCCTCATTTCTCGCTAACGACACAGTTACAACCGAGGGTACCACAGAAACGATCGATGCCAATGCAAATACCACCCTGAAGCGCATGAATGCGCCCGTGATTGTGATTCCTGACAGCGACGGTAACGACGGGCACTCTCTTTCGAACAATACAAACACGTCCAAAACTGTCAGTGGTTCCTTCGAGTCGTCTAATAATGTAACCATCGGTGGCGGCTCGTCCGGGTCGTTCAGCAATTCAACAGTACCATTGGAAATTCCAACCAACGATATTCGTACCGTGGCTACGGAGGGCAAGATGGCAACTGAGAAAAAGAAGAAGGGAAAGTCGAGAGCTAGGGAGAGTGACAGCACGAGCGATACTAGTGCTATGACAAGCTCAACTGAAGGCGGCGGTGCAAGCGAGGCAAAGGAGACATCGGAGTCTACGGAGAGTGAGAGCAAGGGCGAGACCACCGGGCAAACGAATCTATCCGGAAAGACCACAAGTAGCAGCAAGAAAAAGAAGAAGTCGAAGTCGGGTACGATGAAGAATGATGGCAGTGAGAGCAGATCTGCAAACCCAGTCACAAGTGCAGTAGGTACAGGTGGCGGCGATAAGAAGAAGAAGAGCAAGAGCAGAAAAGGGTCGAAAACCCAATCGATAAAAGCTGAAGAGCTCGGAGGATCAATAAAGAAGTAAACGAACTATTTTTCGCCAGTACTGTGTGCGCCCATATTTTCTCAGCGATCAAGTAATGGTGCTTTCACTACAAATGTATTATTTCTCTGTTCCCAACATTCGGCTGTTATATTCGCCCGCTTGTTCACTTCAGCGAGTCGAAACTTCGTCCGCAGAATGATATGCATTGCGTAGGAAGCACAGTATACTACCACAGTACTAACACGCGAAGTCAGCAATGTACTTCGCGTTTGTCCCCAAATATTCGTTCAAATTCATAGTTGTTATTTCCTTTTGTGGTTCACACAGTATTGCCTTACAACAAATAAATATTGTTCGAATCAGAAAGATGCAGTCGTACCTGAGTCCCGAGATTTATCGATATAAATAGCCTTTCGTGCCTTCTTCGCTGAAAAATCGAACAAGAACAGCAGCACCAAAAGGAAAAAGGCGGAATGCGAAAGGAGGGCGCGGGTTGTAAGAAAGGCGTCTTCGCGCCATGGCATACTATCCACACCATCTTCGTACTGCTGGATGGCGGAGTTGGCATATGTTTCGAATGGACGCCGGATCGTTCTTAAACCGAAACCAACGCTGGTCTTCGTTACGTGTACAATGCAACGGCCAAAAATGTTGGACTCGAGAATCAGTGTCTTGGTGGAAAAGATTACGGAAAGGATTCCGCTAAGCGCCATTTGAAGGGCCACGATGCCCTTGTCCGGAATCTTCTCAAGCAGGAAGGATAGGACAACGTTCAGGACCGAATAAGTGTTCCAGATGATCCATTTTAGAGCCCTGTCCATGCCGGGTTTTACAATACCAAAACCGACCATGGTTGCACTCGAGAGAACCACTGCGTAATGAACGTACTCGCTGTAAAACAATCTTGTTCGCTTCCCCGCAATTGAACCCAGCTGCAGGGCTCCGAATGCATAAATCATCGCAACGTAGCAAAATATAGCATGAACCAAACTGACCATTCCCATGTATGCCAGAGTGGCTAGATCCCTCCCACGTTCACTCTGATACGGTCCATTCCGATGTGCTACAAACTTCTGGAACGCACTGTCTAGATAGAGCATGCAAAATAGAGTCACCATCAAAAATTGGAGCACGAACACCTTTGTGAAAAAACTATGGCTACGTAAAGAGACCTTCCATCGCCTGTTGGTATTGTCGGCAAAGCTTTTGCTTCCATCCGGTTCGACACCAATGGGGCTGTTCGTGGTTTTGCCTCTGCTTTTCGGCTCCCGTGCTTTTTGTCGCTGTCGTGCGTTTTGCAATTGGTTCAATCGCACGATAGCATCGTCGTCCAAGGCTTTTGGTTGCAGCCGCCGGGCCGCCCGCTCCCGTGCTTCTTGGATTTCACGAGCTTTTCTTTGATTCGTCTTTTCCACGTAGCGCTTGTAGTGTTCGATTGGATTGAAGGTGGCGACGGTTGTCTTCGATATGTCTGACATATCGTCCAAATCTTTATGCATATCGCGGGTTCGAACTCTGGGCCCATTCGCAACCGATGCTTCACCGTTCCCACGTGGTGATTCCAAGAACGTCTCGAGATTGTTTTCCGTAGCCCCATAGTGTTTGATCGCGGTCACTTCAGACTTGTGCTTTTGTTTCGACATGAACACGTCCGCCATTTCCAGTTGTGCATCCGATAGCTCAAATGCAGCTATCGGAGGCATTTGCCAGCCACGAAGTTTGCATACTCCTTCGAACTTTGGTAGAAGAAAAGTCTTGTAGAAGTCTTTGTCCTCTCGCATCCTGATTGCATGAAGGTTTGTTATCGGATCGTCGTTTATGTATTTCGCAGCCCTCTGCATTTTGTTTAGGATGACGCCACACATTCGTTTCATGACAAAGTCTAGAAGTGCTTGCGGGATAAGTTTCATATTGGGATCGATGTTCGCCACTAATTTTGTTGTCGCTGCGGTGGGGGATTCCAAGTGAATCTGCCCGGCAAACGATCGGAGTGTTAATCTACCACCCCCCATTCGTGTTGGCACCGGCGGTAAATCAAGGCTTTTTAACAACGGATCATTGCGAATCTCATCTATTATCCTCTCTTCTTCTGCGTTGAAATCAAAACTGCTCTGCAGACTCAAATCGGGTAAGTCTTGTACCTGACTATTTGTTTTGTTGTCGTTGTTATCCTCCGGCCGATCTTCGATTCCGGTCGCAACAATCAGAAGGCTTCCGTCCTCGTATATCGAATCGCAACCAATGGCCCGGAAGAGCGAATCGCGCATCAACCCAAAATGAGGTAGCCCGACGAGAAACCAACCCACCGTATCCTATAAGAGAAAAACCATAGAATGTGAGCTGATATTTCGTAGAATAGCATTTTCTGTTACTGTTTGTGGACTTTGAATCAACTCATCAGTCCGCGAAAATAATGGTAAGAAACATTCGATTCTAGTTTGATCAGTTCAATATCAGCTGTCGCAACGATATATGAATCCTTACAAGTTTGCCAAGGTGAGCAACAGTCATGCTCGCGGTGCAAAAGGGGGCCCAAAGATGGTTCAGATCAAATTCTCGCAATACGGCAACCTGATCGAAGAGGGAGCAATCTTTGACCGGCCCCTCCAATTTGATCGACATGCTACCATCCTGCTCGTGTCTATAGAACGTGGTCACACCAAAAAGAGACTGCGCCAGGGTCCAGTCGTCGTCGTTGTTGATGTTGAGCTTCGCTTTTTCAAACATGATGCAGCGATCTTCCATTTTGTTCAATATTTCTTCGTTTTCCACCAAGAGTTCCATAGCCGCCTTTCGCCTCTGCTCCTCAATGCCTTTCCTGCTGGAGTTTTTCTTCTTTTTCGGCATCGGTCGTTTCTTCCCCGAGATGCCCGATAGTGTGCCGCTGTTGTTTCTCCTGCCGCCAAATATCTCGCCGTCGATTTCGCCTTGCTGGATCCTTTCTCGAACGCTCTGGTACAGCGCGTTCGCGGACAAGTACCGTTCGTCTTCGACCAACCGGAATATCCGCTTGGCGTCGAACAAGCAATCGTCGGTTGGGTCCCCGCTGTCGCTGGTGGTAGTCGGCCGCTTGATTTTCACGGGGTACCGCGAGGACGTACTCGACGCCATCTTCTGATGCTGCTGTTTTGGATCCGACGACGACTCACCGCCATCTTGGTTGGTTTCAATGGCAGCGGTCATGGCGGAATCAAACGTAGAATGTTTTCCTGGATCACTCTATTGTTCACAGAGGGAAGAGCTTGCTGCTGTTTTTGTGATTCTTATCGTTCTCGAACCCTTCGCCGTTTTATTGTTTGTAGGTAGACACGATACAGGTACGAGATTTTTATTTCGGTCCATTCTTTCGTCTTACAGTATTACAGTACTTGGTAGCAGAACTGCAGCGTAGGCTAGGCTGGTGAGTATGGGAGTACGACAGAGCTTCATGGTGACCTAGCACGCTACGCTACTACAGTACTTCATATAACAGTACAGTAGTTACTTGTAAGTCCCGGTACTACCGTTATGGACACTCTTACCGTTAAAAGATATCAAAATGACCCCGCATGATATTAAATTTATTCATACATGTGATAGATACAATCCATACGAATTACTTCTATTTTTTTGAGATTCATGCGCATTAGCACTCGTCCTGAAAATTCCAATTGTAGTCCTGTACGTAAGTACGGTACTCTACTGTTTTAGAGGGGTCTAAATTATGACCCCTGTTGCTTTACGCCTACCGAACCGTTTGATATATCACGAACTGTTCTGAAGGATGTGATCGTACTGTACCGTACCATACGTACGTAGGAGAAAGCTACGAGCATCCGTCTTCAACAGGAGTCGGGTACGTACGTACCGGTACGCTAGATACAGTACTGTACAAGACTTGCTATGAACGGAAGAGGTATCGCACATTACGCTACCTGTACGTAACAAATACTATTGGTACTGGTACTACCGGGTGCTCGTATGAGTATCGGGAGAGAGTATGAACCCGAAAAAATGGACTTTCACCGATCAACCGATGCTCGAAAGCAATGCTTGCTACAGCGATTTAAAAAACTGCCGTCTCACTATTATTATTTCTGTAATGCCTTGCGCCGACGATTCATTCCAGCATACCGGTAGATTCATAGATCGTTGTTTCAAACTCATTTGGCATCATCATATTTTAGGCCTTACTCGACACCGAAAATCAATATCACACTACTGATATCTATTGGATCCCCAATTGAAGAATCAAACAGGAGAGTGAATCCAAATTTTGCTGCATCTCCAAGAGCAACAGTCACGCCCAAAATATCACAAGAATTTCATCCATCATGCCAACACCCGCAGGACCAAAGTTGGAGTTTTTAGAAGCCTCCGAGGTAAGAACTGTCGCTGTTTTGGAATATGCTCAGCTATTCGATTCGATGATTTGCGATGCGTATCGATTCTTTGACTCGATGAGTCGATTCCTTGCGATGCGACGGAATTGTGTTTCGTGTTTCCTTCCCTTGATTGTTGGACGAGGCCCTATTTGATCTTATTGCGGCGCGGGAATATAGGAACAAACAACGCATAATGCCTTCGAGGAAGAGAAACCAAAATTCAGTTTTGACCTGATTTGAATTTCAAAAGTGAAGACTCTATTTTGTTGCTAGATAGTATCGGAGAAGACAATGCGAAATTGTAAAAGGTGCCTGTCCAGCAATTGCAATGGCCGTGCCTGTCACGATCAAAACTGAAGTAGAACATAACGCAGCTTTTCTTGTTCGTCTGAATCAATTAAAATAAGATAAAATGTGTCCGCTCTCACCAAACCTCGCGTAATCGATTGATATTGATTCATTTTTTCTTCCACGATTTCTACTGCCTGTACCAACTTTTTGTCGCGACTCGGTTTTCATCTGCAAATCGAAACAGACGACCATTTCGATACAATTCAAGCCGGTCTCATCGGTCGGCAAGTACGAACTGGAGTGGAAACTAGTCGAGCACGAGTGGACTTCACCGATCGGCAAGACAACAGTGAAGGGAGAGGGAAAGCTCCTGAAGGCCGAAGCGGTTGACCTCGATCCGGGGATGACTTACTGCCTTCGAGCCTTTTGTCTCGGCGCGGACGGATCGAAGGGTCATTCTGCCGGTCCTGAGCTGATCATCGACACGGAACAGGTGGGCTGCACGCCCAAGGCCGAGAAATCGTGCTGTGTCATACAATAAGAACAGAGTGGTACGGTAACGATGCGATCCATAGTCCGCATTACTATTTCACTAGTATAATTTATAATGTTGTAATTTATGGAGGACGATTAGCTTCATGAAGCGAAAGTAGACTACTTACACGAGTCAAGCAAGGCAAATAGAAGATGCGGAATAGCTCTTGAGATTGCTCCAATTGATGTGTACAATCGGTCTACTTGTGGGCACGGAACATATTCGTTTACCACGTTCCATTTCAGATTTTCTATTTTGCTGTAAATGATTTACTTTTTTCATATTTTTTGAATTGTATCGAATCGTTTCAAAGACTGAAAACTCTACTCGACACCATCTCGAAAGAAAAAGGGAACGCCACCGGTTGACCTTTGAAGTGATATTATTTTGCATACGATTAATGTCTTTGCTGCGATTCTTACCGCTTGCTTGTATTGTTCTTCGTTTTATTCGAGCGTTGCTTACTTATGCTTTGTTGTGTTGCGTTTTTATTCAATCGTATTTCCATACCGGAACTCCCGCAAGGGTGCTCGCCAGCGTCACCCCTGCGGCGCAGCACGTAATCCACATCACAACTCCAAAGCCAAAAATCAACCCGATGGCATTCGTTCGTGTACAACCTATTCGTTTCTGAACGTGCTGAACAAAATGTTCCATTTTGTGGGTTACCCCGAGGGCAAACGCGATCCGAAACGGACGCGCCAGCGCCGCAACTACGTACAAACTCGCATATGCCGCCAAGAGGCTTCTCCAATTTCCGGGAGCTAAAGGTGAAAGACCACTCTGTTGTTCATTAGTTTATCAGGTGTGCAACGTATGAGTTATAAACAAACGGATGAACAACAACAGAAAAAACAAAAAGGAATTTCCGTCTTATGTAAATAATCAAATCTTCACGGGTTTTCTTTGAAGCAATCACGAAGCAGCAACAAACAAGGAATCGATCTATAACACGTACTTTCATTGATGCTATGTACCAAGCAGTCGATAGCGTGATGCTGCCATTGATGTTACTTATCATGTTGTAAGTCAATCCAAAATCAATGCCCATTTTCGCGATTTCCTTTCTATCGAATTTCATTGACTCGGTTATTTTCCCCCAAACTCTTGTTAAAACACTACTTCGTTTTTGTTTTGTTGTGGTGGTGATAAGAGATTGTATGGAGTGCCCATCGTCGGAAAGAAGGAGCGGAAACGTCATGTTTTGCGATACCTCACCTATAGTATCCAGTCTCGTGGAATCGATGGCATAATGCAGGGGCAAAGACGTTAAAGAATTGTAGCGCTGCTGGCGAAAATTCGGTGCTCTTGGTTGTCTAATACTCGTTCTACTGGGCGCAAGCCCGTTGACACCACCAAATAACAGTAATAGGAAGAACGGAACGTCGACCACCATTCGGCTCAGAAGCCGTTTTCCCCGCCTCATCTCGACGTTATTTATCCCTGTTGACGGAAACGAGGCCGAATGATTCATGCTTCGATGGTGTTACAACGGAACTGTTGAGTAAATCAAATAGGTTTCTGCTTCGAATTTAAAATGCTGGATTCGTTGAAGGTATTATTAGTGTGATATTGACACAAAGTTTCTTTTTTCAAATGCGAAGAATTCAAACACAGCAGAGCTCACCGAACGGGTTCGTGTTTTCTGGAGACAATACCGTACGGTACTTTACCAAACGGTTCAGTTTCTCACAATCGGTTTTCGACTGCTGCCAACCTATTGTTCCTTATGAGTATCGTACGTAGTAGTGCAAGTACGATTATTATGTACTTGTACCGTATGCACATTGTGTACTAGAAAATGGACTGGTGTGGAACATGAACTCACTCATTATTATTTGTTGTCATCGAACTAACTTTGGCGACATTCAGTGTCTACTTAATCGAAATTACGGCCAGCTCGACAGATGTTAATGAAAAATGTTGAAGGCTTTAATTTCAAATTTCATGTTGTGAGCTAGCGGTGACGATACCGGAAACTCTTTCGAGTACGTACGGTACTACGTACTGTAATACGTACCGTACGAACGACCCCTTGTGAAACTGTTGTTATCCACGATGATTTTTGATTCCGTCTCTAGATCTACGGTGTACAACACCTTACAGTGTAGTGGCAACCGAATTCTATCCAATGATATTACAGTACTATTATTATTTATAATTCCTTAACGACAGCAGCATTGCTAAATAAACGTTTGATCTGACTGACAACCATCTCTACAATTTTTTACGTGCGAGTTTGATGATGTCATCTTGTTTCAGAAATGTGCGCGCATGCACGCGTTCAATTGACACCCTCTCTAGCGTGTTTCCAGTTCGAAGAACAGTTCTCTAGAAATATTTCTAGACTTAAAGAAAAAGGTTTAAGGGATGCCCAGCCGTTTCGTTCGACAACAATTCGATTTTTTTAAAATTCTCCCATCCCCATTTCCCCCCTCCCCCCCTCCACACGCAACAACTACCTTAGTCCAAAAATATTTCTATTAGTTGTCCTTACTACTGGAGAGGTAAATTCATTGGTTACTACTTGAGAACTGTTATTAGTGCTTACTACTCGAAAACCTCTATTACTACTTACTAGTGGGGATGTTATACTAGTAGTGAGCACTGGTGCGAACTGCTGCTGTGTTGGGGGGTTTTGTTGGTCTTGCAGCTGTTGAACGAAACGACTGGGCTATCCCTTTAGTCCTTCTGTACTGTACCGGATGAAGAACTTCACATTTGATTGCAAAATGATGATAGGCTCTCTAGTGTCACATGAATATGTGTTTTACAATAAAGAGAGAGCTTATTCATTATCTACTCGTGATTTAGGAGGCTCACACCACCCCGCACTTGCAGAATCTAGTAGTAGTAGAGGCTCGTATGAGTCAAATACACTACTACTACTGGGTGCAACACAGTAGATCTTGAAGAAGATCTAGATTTCAAGTGGAGCAAGATGAGTCCATTTAAAGAGGTTTGTTGTGGTACAGCATCTATGTTTTTGGGGTAGAATTTATTTGTGCTGCTGGTGGGGTGGTACTATGTCACCATTGATAGTAGTTCTGAAGTTCTGATCAGATCCTCATGTAGATCTGGTAGTGAATCTATATGAAGGTTCTTCTATTCCAGACTTGTGACATCTCTGTTCTTGGTGAGGTATTCTCGTACCTCGTATCTTGGACCTCTTAGGATCCTTGGTACGATGGATTGTATGATATATATATATATATATATATAAATAGTACATTATGATATGTAGGTAGGAATGGTATGTCCATCCATTCCAAGGGAGCATCATATGTACGTATGCTTCCTTTACGTACGTATACTTTCCGGTACGTACATATCCGTTGCATTATCCCCGACAGGAATACTGCCTTCAGTATTACTACTAAACTGTAGCAATCATATCTTCAATATTTTCAACAGGGGGTTGTTCCTCTATTGTTGCTGGATCTTTGGAATTGGCATTTGTATTGACAGTTCTTTTGTAAGGCACAAGGTTCTGAATGTTGACAGTTTCACGTACATTGTCACTCCTTTGTAAGACGACTGTTCCGTTGGTATTAATTTCCACTATAGGATAGGGACCATGTAATCTTTCGGACAGCTTGTCTGGTTCATAGTGTTTCATGTAGGCTTGCTGTCCAACTTGATATCGAAAAGGTATTCTCCTAGCATTTTCTCTCCTAAGATTCTCATCCATCTGGTGTTGTCATTTATCTCTGATAAGGTTCAAATCAGCAATCAGTGGGATATCCATAACCATGTCACGGTTGAAGACCAGAGCTCCTGGTGATGTCTTCACTGCTGCATTTACTGCACATCTGGTAGCATGCATTGCTGAGGTGAGAGCATTGTCGATTAGTTGATCTTCATCAAACTCAGCTTCTTCAAGTGATTTGGTATGAAGCATGGCCCGCAGAACATTGGCAATCGTCTGATGAACCCGTTCACATACTGCGTTAGCTTGTGGATTCTTCACAGTGGTTTGTACACTCTTAATTCCATATTGATTCAAGAGCTGTTTGAATGAGTTTCCGATGAATTCTTTGCCATTATCGTGAATACATCTGTTGGGTCTGGGATAAGGTGACAACCAACAGTTGGCAAATTGCTCTGCAACATGCTCACTTGATTTGTTATTGATTCTGATGATTTCCAATAGGTTAGTGACTGGATCAATGCAAGTGAGGGCATTAATCACCAATTCAGTCTCATCCAGGAGAAGTATCTTCCAAGGGCCAATCAAATCCACACATACTTCGTTCCAAGGAACAAGCTGAGCTTCCCAAGCTGGTAATAAGCCATGTCCCTGGTCTTGTTGCTTTAATCTGTGGCACTCGTTGGGACACTGATATTGCTTGCACCTCTGGCTGAGTCGTGGAGCATAAAATCTGGCACTGATAGTTTCATAGAGTCGAGTGCTTCCACAGTGACCCAATAAGAGGTGATACCATCTGAGGGTGTCATCCACGAGTCCATCGGGCAAGTAGATCTTCCAATTATTGTTATCATTTGTGGTTACTGTGAGTAACTCAAAGGTGCCTATCCTCCTCTTGACATAGTGTGTTGGATCAGTTTCAAGTAGGTGTTGACACTGTGGGTCTGTGAGCTGATAAGTGTAAAGGCTTGCATTTGTTATKGGATTTTCCATCTCTGATACTGGTGGTAAATTGAGCAAGCATTCATATAGTTCTGGCTCTAAGTAGAAAACATCTTCTGGATCAATTTGGAGTGTCAATTCCTTGAAATTTACAACTGTTCCTTTATTCTGATAATATATATTTTCTTTTCCTTATCCCCGACAGTGCATGGATCCATTCTGGGCACTCTAGAGAAACAATCTGCCAATACATTCTTCTTGCCTGGAATATATTGCCATGTGATGTCAAAGCCTTCAAGGGACAGTTTCCATTGAAGAACCCGGGACTGGGACAGTGTCCTGAAGATATGGTTTCTGTGGTCAGTGTAGATGTTGATTTTGCCACCGTAGAGCATATTCCGGTATTCTTTGAGGCAAAGGATCACTGATAACAGCTCTTTTTCCATCGTGGTGTAATTCCGTTGGGTCTTGTTTAGTTTCTTTGACCAGTAGGCAATTGGTTTTTCATTTTGGAGTATTGCTGCACMGAGCTGATAATCAGATGCATCAGTGTAAATATCAAAGGGGACTTCCAAGTCTGCAAAGGTGTTGATCGCATCATGTGCAAGAAGAGCTTTCATTTCCTGAAAGGATTGGTTACACGCTGGTGTCCAAATGTAAGGACCGGATTCTGTCAGAGCAGTCAGGGGGGCAAGTACATGGGACTTCCGCGGCCACATGGATTTGTAATAATGCACTGCACCCAGGAATGATCTTACTTGCTGTTGGTTCTGTGGGATGCCCATCTTGAGGATGCCATCGACTTTCTTTTGCCATGGTTTACCACCAGTCGGGGTGAGCCAATATCCTAGAAAGTCAGACTCTTTCACTGCCCATTCACATTTCAGGGGGTTGAATTTCATCCCATTTGATGCTAATCTTTGTAGGACTGGATCCACCAAGGAAAGATGCTGAGTAAAGGGTCCACAAGACCAGATGCCCATGTCGTCAATATAGACTTCAACATCCAACCCAAATAGGATCTTAGTGATAAAGGCTTGGGCATAGTCTGGAGATGATTTAAGGCCCATTGGCAATCGGATGCATCTGTAGTTGCCGTGTGTTGCGGTGAGTGTGCATATCTTTTGGGTTTCCTCATCCAATTCAAAGCAGTAAAACATCATAGAGAGATCAATTTTAGTGAAGTGATTGTACCAAGTTCTTCAGTTCATGATGTCCTGGATTTTGGGGAGGTTAAACTTGGGACACTTGATCCTTTTGTTTAACTCTCTGAGGTCAACAAGCCATCTGACTCGTCCATCCTTTTTTGGAATGATAAAGGCTGGGAAGCCCCATTCTGAATTGCCAGTGGGGGCAATCACCCCTTCATCAACCAGATGCTGGCACTCTCGTTTGAAGACATCCTTGTGTCTGTAAGGGACTGGGTATGGATTTATGTAAACTGGTTCTGCATCATCTAGGAGATCGATGTGGATCCTTTCATGAGGGTACCGACCAAGTTTTCCATCAAACAACTCCTGGTGTTTGGCTAACATCTTTTGGAATGCTAGTCTTTCTGAATCAYTCATRTGCTCCTGATGGTCTGCAACCTGCTTTGGAGTCACTTTCTGGTACTGCGCGTCCAGGATTATGTTTGGCTCTGTTCCAGTAGCTCTGGCAGCATCTGCTGCCAAATAGCTGACTGAACTGGCTGCACGTCTGCAGTTTTGTTGTTGGCAGCTGTTTGGGGGGAGTAGATGAAACTCTAGGAATCCTCCATCTAAGAGCTCATCGTCCTCTGCCAGCCACATGGCCTCTGCCACTTGCTGGGGATCATTGAAATTTATCTAACGGTTTCATATCAATGGTTGAATCCAACCATTTGATGGTGCGTTTGGAATAGAAGAGGTCTATCCCTGTCATCAGTAGGAAGTCTCTTCCKAGAATCATATCATAGTTGCAGGGGGCTGAGAAGAGCCATGCATTGATACCTCTGATGTATTTTCCATTGCCAAACTCAGGAAGGCGTATATTTGAGATGAAAACATATTTAGAAGTGTCCAAGCTTCCCTGGGCTGTTGTTGTGACTGAACTGCATTTGTCCTGGAAGGGGATTACTCCTGGTGGAAGGCAACGCTCGTGAATCAGACACATAGTACTTCCACTGTCTAAGAGGACCTTGAATGTCTGCATTGTTGGTAGGTCTTGGATGGTCTTACAAACAAATATGACTGCTGGTAGCACATCCGGTGGTGGTTTCAGAGCTTGTAAGGTCACTGCTGTTGGATTCTTAAGATCTTCTTCATTATCAAGACCATAGAACTCAAGGCTCTCTTCTGGGGATTGAGTTGATGGTGTTGGAGGCAATGCTGCAAAGAAGGCTTCTCGTCCCTCGCTGGATGGTCACCACTGCTGGTTAGGTCCTTGTCCTTGGAATCGGACTGCTGACCCAGCATTGCTATTGGACTGTAATGAGACGTGGCTTGGAGGGCCTCCACTGGAGCTGGATCCATTGTGTGTTGCAAGCTGATAAGTCTGAGGTTGACTTACAGTTTGTGGTTGGAAATTCATATCTCCACTCTCATCAATGTTGACTGTATAGGTGCCTGGTGCAAACCTCTTGTTTGCATTTGAATTTCCTTGACGGCTCTGATTTCCTCTGTTATTGTTGTTGTTATTCCTTCTGTTGTCATCCTGCCAATCGTTGCCGTTCTTGTTGAATGGACATTGGCCCCAAGTGTGTTCTCCATTGTGCTTTCTGCAGGGCCTTGCATTGATCTTCTTCTGTCTCTCATCTTCATTGCCAGAATTGTTGTTGGTATTTCCCTGTCTTTGTCTCTTCCCATTCCTCTTGTGGTCACCAGAGTTGTTCGAGGCTCTCTTCGGGACTGATTGTGTTGTTGCTCCTCATCTGCTATTCCTTTCTGGTCTGTCATGTATTGTACTATCTGAGTGATGGACTCGTTGAGGATGTCTTTCCCACAAAGGATGTAACCATTCTGCCATTGTTTGGGAAAGGACCTAAAAAGGATTTGTTTGATCTCCCTTTCAGATAAGGGCTGCCGGATGCCATGAAGAAGGTTGGCTCTGGCACAACAGGTTTCAATTCTATCCGCATGAGCTTGACAGGAGCTTGTGAGTGGCTTCCTAGTGGCGTCCAAGTATAGGTATTCAATGACTTCATCCCTGGCCCTCTTTGATGGCGCATACAATTTCCTGAAGGTCAGGAGAGCCTCTTTCCACTGTTCCTTGTTAGTTCTCTGTACTTCCAGTCTATTGTTATTCCACATGTTGTTCCACTTCTGTCTGGGCCTATGCGCAAGGACCATCTGCCACTTCTGATCAATTTGTTCTTCTCTCAATTCCAAATCCACTATTGCATCTTCAAAATCCTCCTCGATATGGAATAGTTCCTGCAATCCGTATTCACCTGAAATGACTAGGCAGCTTCTTGTCAGTTTCTTTGCTGGTTCCCTGACTATTACTCTTCTTCCAACAGTTTCTGTTACAGCCGGATGATTCACAGAGATGGTAGTTGAATTGAGCTTATTGGTGTCAAAGCTGTTGATTAGGGTGAGGCAGGATTGATGTGTGTGTTGTCGATGTTGTTTGGAAGAGGAGTTGGTGTTTTTGTTTGGTTTCACCATGGTCAATTGATTCATTTGGTTGTTTTTCTTAATGGTTGATTAATTTTGATACACGAAAACTGGTTAGTAATTACTGTGCACGAGATTACGTGTACTCTTAGTAAGTGTTTAAGTGTGTATGAAAATTGAATTATAAGATTAAGATTATTGAGCGTGTTCACGAGAGTTCCGAAGTTCTGATCAGATCCTCATGTAGATCTGGTAGTGAATCTACATGAAGGTTCTTCTATTCCGGACTTGTGACATCTCTGTTCTTGGTGAGGTATTCTCGTACCTTGTATCTTGGACCTCTTAGGATCCTTGGTACGATGGATTGTATGATATATATATATATATATATATGAATAGTACATTATGATATGTAGGTAGGAATGGTATGTCCATCCATTCCAAGGGAGCATCGTATGTACGTATGCTTCTACTTTCCGGTACGTACGTATACTTTCCGGTACGTACTTATCTGTTGCACCCCTTCTTATCTCTTCCTCAGCAACGTTGTGATCCTTCTCCATCCTAATGTTGTGCCTTTCAACTACATCTAAATTATTGACAGGCATGATAGAGCAGTGATCACAGATAGGACATTCAAACCTGTCTAGCTTTCCTTGATCAAAATCACAATCATCCTGTACTCTAGACTGTCACTCCTGCAGGTAGACCTTCCCTTTCTTGTGCTTGAACACTTTGAGTCTAGTGCTCTGTTCATCATCTTTCATTGCCTTCTTTACTGCTTTTGAAGCTGTTTCAAGCACAGCTACAGCTGCAGCTGTCCTCCTGCTTTCTCTTTATTGTTGATCCCTCCTCTTCCTGATCTCCATTGCTGTAAATAAGATGGCAAGCACTGTAGCTGTGTAGGCCTGGTTCTATTTTGTCCTCCTCATGTGAAAAGTGTTCCCTGTTGTATTTATACTGTGGTAAAGCCTCTGCATCTCAAGGGACTAGTAGGCGTTGCTGTTCCCTTGAGGAAAGACAGCTTTGATAAGATCCTGATTGAGCTTCTTGTCTCTAATTCTAAGCAGCAAAGCTCTCTTTTCTTTCAGTGAAAGATTCTTCCTCTTGGCCAGTGCAGCTTGTGCTGTCTTGAACAAAGGATGGAATGTGGCTGGTGTTGTTTCTGGAGGAGCTGTGGTGGTGGTGCTGTTGGTGGTGGTAGCTTTAGGAGACCATCTCTTGCATCCTTCTCTTAGGAATTCATTGTATACTATAGGGGGAGGAACTGATTGCCAACAACAAAAAAGAAGTTGTTGTTGTAAAAAAAGGAAGCTGGCACTAAACACACTAAAACAATACTTCTACTGGATCCTTTTCTACAGTTCAAGGATTGTTAAATCGACAATTGAAGAGAGCTATCCATTGATACCAAGTACATTAAGAAAAGTGAGTAGAAGTCCTTCAAATAGACCATTTCTCATGGTCAGTTGCTTTGAATCAAGGAGTTTTTTTTAATGAATGAAAAGAACAGTTCTAGCTTACTGGAGGGAAGTTTTAGGTGGTCCACAACAGTAGACTGGAGTGTAGTTGTAGGTCTGTTGTTGGTGATTGTTTTGGCTTTTGACACCATGGTTCTGAATGGAGAAGTGTCGTACATTGCTACGTGATTTAGTACTGGTTCTCCACCAGAATTTTCAGATAAATTCAGTGAAAAAGACGCTTCCCAGAAAAGCAATCCTCTAGAATCCTCTAGAGTGCTCAAGGGCCAGGGAGTGGAGCAGTAAATCAAGCTGCTCTGTTAAGATTGTGGTATAGGCTGATGAGCTGAGGTTAGTTCTTTTTGCTGCTCATAACCTGCAAAATGCTGATAGGCTCTCTAGTGATGTATGAATACACATTTTACAATAAAGAGTGAGCTTATTCACTATCTACTTGTGATTTAGGCTCACATCAATACCCCAATTTTTCAACAGCCAACTGACAGACAAGCAGATGCATTAGGTCATTCCTATTATTCTAAGAAAACTCTAACAACTATCTAGATTCATGCCAATTTTATATAGGACTACTTGTTCAACGGACAGACTGCTGGCTTGGGATCTCTCTATGTAAGAATTTGGAATCTCAAATAGTGCAATGTAATGACTACTAAAGAGAGGACATTGGCAAGCTGGCTCCTTCTGGTACCAGCAAAAACATGAAATTTCAGCATTATCTACTAGCACAGCAACCACCAGAACCAAGAAGCCTTCTTATCCTCAATTGAAGACCATATTTTTCTTTTGGCAAGCATCACAGCAAGATCAAAATGGGAGTACTTGAGACAATTATCTTCTACTTGGCACTCAAGGAGTATTCAAGGCTAGTTGAACAACACGTTTGGGCTGCTGTTGATGGCCTCAAATTATTGATACAGCAATTCAGTAACTGGCACATAAAGCAACAGTTCTTCAATGGATGGAAGGAAGACACTTTTGTGAATGGCGTCTTTGTCTTTGCACTGGATGGTAGGATCTGTACGTGCATGTTAAATTGCCCTGGTAGGTTGAAAGACAGTTCAATGTCCAACTTTGGTGTATATGAGAGGATAGAGAGGGTCTTCAACACCAGTGGTGGAAGTGTTGTTGCTGCTCAGCAATTAGTCTCCAATAGAAGGATTACCTCATCAAGAGCTCAGCACAGAAGGATCAGAGAACAATGAGGGACTCTTGATGTTGGTGTAGGGGATGCACATGATCCAAAGGCAGTTCCCTCCCTTGAAAGACAAAGTTGTCCTCCACTTCATGATCTGCCTTTACAACTGGCAGTGCAGTACTGTTGGTCACAAAAAGATCCTCACCTTCTTCATGTGCCATCCGCCTGCTGTTTTGGGTCAACCAATACCAAAGAAGCTAACTCCCCTCGGACAAGGATACTTCCAAGAAGGAAGAGTTCTCTCCCCAGATGCCAATGCACTGTTTCTTTGAGGAAGGAAAAAGGAAAATCCCATGGTGAGATTAGCCAACTTTTAGCATCAAATCATAATTGATTGTTGACGCTAATCAATTGATGTGTCAATGCATGATCAATAGTACAATATGACAATGCTCATGGTATCAATGCTCTCATAAACAATGGTGAAGACAGCAATCAGCAACACAGCGTGATGACAGCAGTACACTTTGACCTACCTTGCTATCCCATGGTGCTTACGGTTTTGCTTTAGGTGTTGTTTGTTGAATTTGCAATTATACCACTTCAATGAATAGGAACGAGTAAACTCACATATGGAAGCTACACCACATCCTTGTGCTTTTGTAAGAATGTGTTGTTCTTAGTATCTATTTTTCTGAATACTCCTTACGGGAGGAATCTCCTCTATCAAAGATGTGTTAGTGTCTATTTCATGGGAATCAATACCAAAGCAATGCAATATGAATAAGTTGTACACATACTGTAATGAAGATAAATTCAAGATTTAACCAACGCCCCAGTTGTTGTATTGAATGATCATATATTGGAGTGAATAAAAATCATATAATGAGACAGAGCAACCATTTCTAAACCTGGATACTGCTTTAACATAGCATATTGCAAGGGGAAAGTATTCTAATCTGCTAGTATAACATGGTGTAAAGTGAGGAGCGGAAGCTCCTCTAAAAGTTGCACTCACTAGCTCATTTGACAGTCCTCTACTGATATTGTCATGAATTCAATTGTTATTGTTATCATGACCATGGTCATGACAAGGATGCTTTTCAAGGTGAGAAGACAACCATGCCAATGCTAGTGTTGCTACAATGCTTAGGAACTTGTTAGCTGATTCCTTCATATCTCTCATGTCATGTCAATCTTCTTTTCTTTCAGCCTTCTGCTGCTGCAAGGACATGGACAACACTTCCATGATGTTTGGCCCATCACTACTGGAGGAGAAAGATCAATAGGATCTCTTCTTTATTGTTGATGCCTTGTTGTTGTTGCTAGCGGGGATGTTGCTGGTGGAGATAGCTTCCTTCATTGTTGACTCTTTGTTTCTGGCAGGGACTACTTGAACTTACGCCTCAAGTGTTTTGAACAATGATAGCGGCAAGCCACTGGCATGCCGTCCTTGTACTCAAGATAATCGACACCTGGCTTGCTGCACTCAGGACAAGTCCCCCCCCTCGGATCCAGGTTACAGTTGAACTTGCAGCAGTAGCAAGCCATCCTTACATCCAGTATGCCCTTGAGCCTAGGACGACCCTTCTTGTCCCTGCTCACTTCATCATGGGCTGCAACAGCAACATCATGCTCCTTCTCCATCCTCATGTTGTGCTTTTCAATCTCTTTTAAATCATCCACAAGCATGATGGAATAGTGGTCACAGATAGGGCATGGAAACCTATCCAGCTTGGCTGGATCAAAGTCCCAATCATCCTGTACACGCGACTGTCCCTTCTGCCAGTAGACCTTCCCTTTCTTCTGTTTAGACGCCTTTAGTCTAGTGCCCTGATCCTCTTCTTTCATTGCCTTCTGTACTGCTCTGGAAACAGTCTCAAGCTCAGCTACAGCTGCGGCGGTCCTTCTGCTGCTATCCCTTTTTTGCTGATCCCTCCCCTTCCTGATCTCCATCCCTGTAAAGAATTTGGCAAGCAATGCAGCTGAATAGGCCTGGTTCCATTGTTTTTTGATCCTGTACTGAGTGCTTCCTGTTATGGTTACATCATGATACACCCTCTGCATCTCATGGGACAGGGCGTCCCCCCCAGGAAAGACAGCTTTGATAAGATCTTGGTTGAGCTTATCTCTAATTCTAAGCAGCAAATCTTTCTTTTCTTTCAGTGAAAGAAACTTCCTCTTGGCCAGTACAGCCTGTGCTGTCTTGAACAACGGATGGGATGTGGACGGTTTTATCACTGGAGCAGGAGGTGGTGGTGGTGGTGGTGCTGCTGCTGCTGGCGCCACTGGAGGAGCACCACAAGGAGCTTCTTGTTGCTGATCCGAATCCTCCACAGATGAATCATCCAAGAGCAATCCATCAGCATGGCCTGGTGCCAGAGCTCTATTCAGCTGTAGGAGACCATCCCCGGCTTCTCTCTCTTGTGTATTCATTGTATAAAGGGGGGGAAGGAGCTGATTGCCGACGTCGGAAGAAGCAGTCGTCGTAAAAAAAGAGTCCCTACTATAACACACTATAAAATCTGTTACACTTGCTTGTTTGCAACAGTTAAGGGCTTGTTAAATCGACAATGGAAGAGAGCTATCGATTGATACCGAGTAAAGTAAGAAAGAGTGGTGAGTGGAACAAGTTCTCTAAAAGCGGATTCCCATGGTCGGTTGCTTTGAACCGGGGAGTTTTTCTTTAGAATGAAAAGAACAGTTCTAAAGCGTGCTGGAATCAGCGGGCTGGAGGCAGGTAGAGGTCAAGACAGTAGGCCTCAGTACAATTTTGAACGCTGAATCAAAACCCTTCTATTTTGACCAAAATGGCAAGGCAAGTACCTTGATCCACGATTTTCTACAGGATTTTCTACATAGCTTTGTACTAGGATCCATCCAAAAGTCCTACCGTACTGTGCTAACGTTCCGAATGTTAACACTAACATTCGGAATGTTAACGCTAACATTCGGAACGTTAAATTAAACTAACGTTCCGAACCCCTTAATTAACGAAAGTTCAATTGTTATTTTACGCGTAGTAAGCCACCATTTCGTTCACTGGTTTACTTCGTACGAAGTACCAAGTACTAGGTACGTACTGGTACCATGCCAAAATGATTGCGGTTCGCGTGGAGTGATAAAAGCCCACTGAACATGGTTTATGGCTGACTCATTCATTCATAACCGGTACCCGTACTCATCAGTTGCTTTTGCAAAACGAAATGTTCTCATCATTTCTAGTGCCGTGACTTTGTCTCCTTTTCAATTTCCGCAAAGAATTTCCGCAAAGAAAATCGCATTAGCACGATCTTCTCAAACAGTGTATTCCACTAAAGAGGCTGCCATGAACTCCCCTTTGTCAACTGTATCTTTTCTTGCAGATTCCTCCACTTTAGCAGCTGTGGTCACAGTCATTGGATCGACGCTCGCTTTGAATCGCTACTTCAGGATTCAGCGTGATCGAAAGCGTTTGGGAAATTTTCCTAGCTCAACGCCGTCCTTCCTTCCCTCGTTTGATTTACTGCATGCCATCCGTGCTGGAACCTTAGAGAAGTTTGTGGAGAGTCGAAAAAAGGCACTCGGTTCCGACTGCTTTTACATTCGACTTCCTGGGATGGCAAGACATACTCTATGCATCATAAACCCAGAGGATCATGCCGAAGTCTTGCGCAAGGAGAGAAAACTCAAACTAATTGTGGATCTGCCCGATACTCTTAATGAGACTCACGGTCCAGGATCGCTCCAGGCTCTTTCTGGTAACCAGCATAACTTTTATCGCAAAATTTTTGCCAGCTTACTGAGTCCTGCAGCCCTGGAGAGCTTTACCCCTTTTCTCTTTGATGCCTTTTCTCAAATGTGGGCAGATCTTGAAGAAAAATCTGTTGAGGGTGAAAGCCCAGTCGTCATCCAGGATGCCATTTGCAGGACCCAATTCTTCCTCATGTCGAAAGTTTTGTACGGTATGACCCCCGAAAGTACCTCCATGGATATGATTCTGCAGATGCGCGATGACTTTGAGGCCCAGCTTGAAGGGCACTTTGCCCCCCGAATGAGTGCGAAGTTTAAATTGGCCAAAGAGGGGTCCAAGCGCATACATGATGTGTTACGAAAGAAATTTGAGCTCATCCTCGAAGAAAGGCGTCACTTATTCGAAAGTAGTAATGGAGAAGAAAAGAAAGATTATGATGATAAGAACATCATGATTGGGAATGCAATGGAATCCGTCGCAGATGCGCTGCTGAAGGAAGGTGCGGACCGTGATCTGAAGGTGCTTGATGAAACCATTGATAACTTTGACCTCTTGCTGGAGGCTAGTCATGGAACAACGATGACTATGACAACGACTGCCATGTATTACCTAAATATTGCCGAAAATTCGGTCCATCTTCAAAATCTTCGAGAGGAGGCCAATTCATTTGGGTCAGATCATTTTCCAACGTTTGCCAACCTGAAAAGTGATATGCCCTATGCAGAGGGAGTAATCAAGGAGGCGCTCCGCCTGGCCCCTTTCACTGTGGGGTTAGCGTATGCCATGGAGGATAATATAGCTTTTACCTTCAAGGGACAGAAAATGCAGGGTCCCATGAGTTTTTTCATGAGTTTCGGACAGAACTTCAAAAATCCGTCGTTGTTCCCAGAGCCGGATAAATTTCTTCCAGAGAGATGGATTCCGGGTAGCAAGAGCTACGTGAGTAAGGAAGCCCAGGCAGCATTCACTCCCTTTGGTATGGGCCGTCACCTCTGCCTTGGTTATCAGCTTGCAATGCTCGTCATGAAGAGTTCTCTGTACTGCTTTGCCAAGGACGAGACTCGTGTCATTAAGTTTGACGCCGAAAAAACTCGGGTAAAGCCTGGTCTTTTTCCTTCGTATTCTGTTTCAGACGGACTCCTTGGGCGTGTTACAAAGAATTAATGAACATATTTTTGAGAAATTTTTCCCATCCAGGCCTGCTTTCAAAAGAAGGATAAGCAATAAATTTCGTAAGTATGGACGTCTCTTTCCCAGGATCGCACTACGTAAATGAAACGAGACCTTCATCCTCGTTCTTGAGATGTCAAAACAGTAGATACATTTTTTAAGAAGATGGAATTCACTTTCTTCATCTTTCATAGTAGGTAGCTAAAGATTGAGATGGTGCCTTACCTTTCTATCAATCTCAAATATAGAGCAGAGGAAAGAGAGCACTATCAACAAAAGGAATATGTTGCCTGATTCTGTAATGGAGGAGACACATTATGATTGCGATATTTCTTCATCCTTTAATCCTTGACCTTATTCAGCGTCAAGGTAGTTCAGTCTGAGACTCTTCGGCCGACGGAATAGACTACCCGGTAGTCCATTGTCAAGTAGTTCTATGCTGTGAGAGCGTGCGAGAGGGTGCGATCACTTTTTGTGACGTGGTGGTATTGGTATTGGTATTGGTATTGGTATTGGTATTGCTATTGCTAGGGCTATTGCTATTGCTAGTAATAGTGCTAGCAATAGTGCTAGCTCCAGACAGTAATGCAAGTAAAATTGCAGTCATCGGACGGTCATTGTCGGAAGGAGGAAGTAGTATGTTATGTAAAGTATCAGTCATAATTACTGTACTACTTTAGAATTATCAAAAAATGTGAGTGAGAGTCCCATATGTGGAAGGTGGCGTTTCTTAATAAAACTGGTTTTAAGTCTTCTGCGACCAAACGGACGGAAACTTTTGATGTCGCAGGATAGTGCACTAGGCACTATTTAGTGTACTTCTGAATAAAATAAATAACTATCACGATTACCTTTTTGAATAGGGTGTTTCATAATCAAATTGGTTTTACGTCTTCTGCTGTGCAGCCTGACATACTGGTATCCTACGTACGTACTGTAATTGAAAACCTGGATCGCAAATCCATCCCGTGCATTTTTGTTTTTGCTCGAGCAGTTTAGCATTTATGGTACGAGTACGTAAGCACCGCAGAGTGTATTCTTTTACCTTACGGTAACAGTTACGTGAGATTTTGAGCGGAGATCTCGTAATCAGACAACAACAATTCTCGTTGTGTTCACAACCTGTGAAATTTTGCAACCCCGAAGATGAATGACGGAGAACATGTAGATGATGGCACGACAGTGCGTGTAAGTGTCCTACCTAATCCACCTTCGGAATTCGACGTGAATGAGTCTTTATCAGGGGCTCTGATGAACTTAGAGCTCAAGGATCGCATTGCTATACAAGAAGAAATCCATGGTGTGCGATGCGGGGCGGTAGATGAAACGCCCGAGCTGCTCCGACAGTCATTGGCAAGATTCGATGAGCTACTGAATGCGAGAAAAGAGAAAGATCCAGGCAACCGGTTACTGAGGAATATAACTCGTATATGTCCCTCGGATTTGGCAACGACAGAAGCAGGCCCAGCGGGTGGCAATGGATCTTCCAAGGAACCGGTAATAAAACCGAAGAAACCGAGTTGCTACCTGAACGATCCGGATATCCGATTGCGTTTCTTGAGATGCGAATGCTTTGCTGTTGAAGATGCTGTCCAGAGAATGATAAATTTCTTGGAATTCACGGCCATTCTGTTTGGCGACTACGTCGCGGAGCGGCAAATCGAGCTTACAGATTTCAATACCAAAGAAGAAGAAAATGCGCTTCAGAATTCGAGGAACCAGTACTTGCCATTCCGTGACAGAAGTGGGAGACGTGTTCTTGTTGGCGTAGGAAACTGCAACTTCCACTTGGAATATCGTTTGCGATACAAAATCCTGATGTACTTGTTTTGGGTTGTTTCGGAAGACGTCGAAACACAACGCCGAGGAATTGTAATAATCCACCTGATTTTCGACGAAGACGGTGTTGAAAATATGTGGGAGTCCCAGCTTCGACCTGGCATAAGAAAAAAAATTCGAGAGCTTCATAAATTGCAAAATGGGTCCCTACCTGTCCGAGAAGCAGTCATACACCAGTGCTTAAGAAACACACCATTTTTTCGTACCTTGGCTGCGATGTATGTCTTTGGGTTGGATGCACATCATCGATCAATATATCAACAGCACTTTGGTAAGTTATAATACAATACAATGAAGTCGAAGTGTGATTTCGCCCTGAGAAATTTGACGTGCCCTTACAAAATGTGAATCTCAATTTAATAAATTCTTAAAAGGCGAGTTGACCGAGCTTCTTTACCGAATGGCCTCCTTCGGAATAACCCCTGATTTAATACCAGTATCATCCACGGGAAAGGTGAAGTTTGGCGCTCATATTTCCTGGCTGAAGGTTCAACGCATCAAGTTGCAGACTAAAAATGATTCAGATATTGTGGAATGCCCAAGGTTAGTTGATGTGGTCTTCAAACATGGACCAGCCTACAAAAACAATCCTGGAAATATGTACTTCAGAGAGTTAATTGAAATAAGCCTTGGAGATCACCTCGATGGAACGAAGGATGAAAAATGCAAAATTACAATGCGCATCCTGAAACAGATCGAAGCCCGGAAGGGTCGAATTTTGGAATGGTCCAAGCGGGAAAGTACTTGGAGGGTTGTCAGAAATAGGAATGTCATGCGCAAAAAAATTGCTGCCACTTTCAAGCAGCAACATCGTCAAAGAAAAACAACGACACAAATGAAGAAGACGATCGAAAACGCGCTCTATATTGCAGCCGACAACGAAACTTCTCGAGAACAAGCAAATCCGAAACGTTACTACGACTCAGATCAATTGTATCATGAAAGAAAGCGAGTCAGGACTGGTTGTTTCGATTGCGACGGTGATGCGGAAGATCCCGATTTCTCTTGTTTTGGAAGATCGTTTCACCCGACTTGGGGAGGCAATGATTAGAAAGAGTTCTCTTCTTTCACGTGTATTCTACGTTTATAAAGTGGCTTTTAAATTAATTTTTGTTGTTCCTTTTCTCTACATTGATGCTGTAGATTTACAACGAGGACCGAATTGGCGCATCTGGGTGTAGGGTGCACACTATCATCAACACTTTGGAAGGTAGGGAGTTCGGGTCCTGGCCGGGAGGCTTTTCAACCTTCTGTTTCTTGTCATACGAGAATATGGTTTCTGGTGTTGCTTCTTGATCAAGAGCAGCCATGGTGGAAGCCATAATCTCTATGCAAGAAGCTGTGAGGCCCCACCTCCCCTTTTGTTTTAAATGTCATCTTTAGTTGGCAATTGATTTTTCACAGTACAGGGCGATAGCAGGCTATACCAAGCTCGTCAATCATAGCATTTCTTCACCTACCAGGCCTTGAACCGTCAAAAACGGACCTAAATTGACCAAATGGCAAGAATTGAAAGATTTGTTCACAAAATTACAAGTTTCCATGATACGAATCGTGGCTACAAATTCTATTCCACACTTCCTTACAAGCCCTTATCAAAAACATTCAAAAATGTAAGAACAAATGTTGTTGACCATGATGATGCAGAGTTATCTCATACTTGATTCTAACAAAGATCTTCCTTCCAACAGCACCATGTCTCAGGCATCTCTTCCAAGGCTTATTGCTGGTCACAAATCCCAACCATCTAGTGGCAATGACTCCACTCTTTCCAACCAAAAGACAGTCCTTGACTGGTTGAAGCCCAACCCAAAATCTGAAGCTATCTTTTGCCTTGTTAAGCCAGTCAATAAGAAGTCACATTGCTGGAATTTTTACCATCAAGTCCATGGGTTGAAAGATGATGTGGATGCATCAGAGTTGCCTAATAATTGGATTCCTAAAGCTACTGGGAATGCAGCTTTTCCATTTTGCAACATGCGTGGTAGTTTGATCAGGATGGGGATCTGGAATGATAATGGAGTGATTGCAAAACAAAGTTACGCAAGCTTGGTCCACCACTTGGCTTCAAAAGTACATGGTAGGAAGGGTATGAATGTCTTAGAGGAAGAATTGAATGCTGCCCAGGCCCAAGATGATGGCAAAAAAACGAAAGGTCATCCAGACTTCATTAAGTCAATTTGCAACAAAAAAAATCCAATGCAACTGCTAAGGAGATGCAGAAATATCAAGATATGATGACTGTGAAGTTTCTGTGCAGCAACTTTCTTCCATTCAGAACTGTGGAAACAAAATCTTTTCATGACCTAATTCAGTCCCATAATCATCATGCAAAGCCAATGAGCAGAAGGAAGGTTCAATCAATGATATCTCACATTGAATATTTAGTGCGTGGAAAAATGGTTGAAGAACTGAAGGGTCAGGCTATCTCAGTTACCCTTGATCACTGGACATCTAAAGCAAACCAGAACTACACTGGCATCACAGCTCATTTCATTGATGAGACTTGGGCTATGCGTTCATTTGAGATTGGTTTGTTTTTGCATGAAGGAGGAGCAACAGGCAAGAAGTTGAGTGATGATTTTCAGAAATTGATGTTGGAAAAGGTCAAGTTGGGAGGTACTTATTTAACAGCAGTAACAACTGACACAGCTGCAAACATGAACTCTCTTGGAATGCTGCTGGAGGAAAAGGGTACTCACCATGTTTATTGTGCTGACCAAGAAATGCATAATATTTGCAAGCAGGCTTATACCAAAGACCCAAAGACAACATTTGGTGTTCTTCATGCCAAGAGCTATGAAAAAGCAAAAGCACACATTCACCACTTCAATTATTTCACCTAAGCCATAGAAAAGCTCATGAGGGCTCAGGAATTAGAGGTTGAAACTTATGGAAGAAAGAAACCTGTTGGTGTTGTTGATGATGTCGTGACAAGATGGTGGTCAACATATGATGCACTTGACTGTCTGATTTATCTTAGAACTGCAATAGAAGCAATGCATTCAGGATTAACGACTGGAAATGTCTGAATGAAATCATGCTTTTGTTGAAGCCATTCAAAAAAGCTCAGAAAACCCTAGAGGGAGACAAGTATGTGAGTTCAAGCCTGTTGTGTGGAGCACTGAAAACCATTTGAGAGACACTAAAAAAATTAAAAAGAATGGTGATACTAGTGGAGGCAAACTGGCTGGAAATCTCTTGGAGGACTTCAACATCCGTTGGAAAAATAATGATGCTGCAGTTTATGAATTATCACAAGGACTCACACCAAATCGTGGGAAGAGAAACAGACAGGAGGGGATCCACCCAATTCTGACAATTGCTACCTTCCTTGACCCAAGAACCAAGAGCTTGGTATCCATTGGAGAAGATGATAAAAGCAAAAAAGATGTTTGCACCAAAGAAAAAAGCAAAGAAGATATTCACAGCAAAGTACTAGAACTGATGAAAGAGTCTGAGTCCAAGAGACTTGAAGCTGAGGACTTGGCTGCCATGGAGGCAACTAGTAACATCACCATGGAAAAAGTTGAAGAGGATGGGGATACCGGTGCTGATACTGGTGTTGATGATGCTGACATGAACATGTTTGAGCTGATGGAGGAAGAGGAGGAGGCAAAAGCTGAAGAGGTTAACTGCCATCAATTTAGCAATGGTGCAGCAGATATCAATATTGATCATGCATGTAAACGTGAACTTGAGCTTTACATTTGTTCTGAGCTTGGCCTTAGTCACGATAATTGGAAGTAAGACAGTTAACAATGATCCACTCCAGTGGTGGAAAAAGCACCAGGGAAGTTATCCAATTCTTGCAAGGCTGGCCAAGATCTATCTTCCTGTGCAACCCACTTCAGCCCCATCTGAGCGAGTCTTCAGCCATGCTTCCAGACTCCTCTCAGCAAGGTGCTCCCACTTGGATCCAGAGTATGCAGGAAAAGCATTCTTTGTATCTAAACACTGGGAGTGGTTTGAGAAGCAGGTTAATTTGGCAGAGATTGAGATGGCTGAAGCAGATGGTGAGCATGCTTATGATGAGTAAAGGAGGTCTAAGAGGAGGAACAAAGACTTTATTTGTGTCAAATCATACATTTGCATCTTAAATTGGATACATATCCTAGTAATTGGTAAATAAGTAATAGTGAATAAAGATGTTTGAACTGTTCTCAGCTTTCCAATAGATTTCAGCGTTAGGAACGTTTCAAATGTTTACTAACGCTAGCGTACGCTCAGAATTTTTTTTGGGAACGTTTAGCTTTTTTTCCACACTACTACTACAGATATCATAGTAACAATTGATCACGTTACTAAGAAAGTGGTTCCCATCGTTAATTTAATGATGCCATCCTTAATTTTTTCAGTACAAATTCTACAGAGCTCTACTGAGTGTTGCTCCCCAAAATTTTCAGCATGTTTTGCCTTCTGAGAAAGAAGCTGGATTGGTTCTCCGCCACCAGAATAGTTGCAAACTACCTCAGTACATTTTGTACTGTGTTCTACTGGGCTAAGGATGGCATCATTAAAACAACGATGGGAACCACTATCTTAGTGCCGCAATCAATTGTTGGCTACGGTGCACTGCACTTCACTACTATCTCTATCTTTAGTGCGCGTAGCCACTAACTTTGAAGAATTCTTACAGCCCTGGACTTACCGAGGAAACAAAAAGATATATTTTTTAGTGTAGATTTGTACAAACCCCGGTATATTAATTTTTGCAAATAAATTAGTACCTTTACCAAAATAAATTATTTCATTTTTAACTTAAACATTCAGTCATTATTGTGACAGCAAGTCATTCTACTAGCAATAACCTAGTTTTTGCACCGTAGGGTAAGTTTTTTTGGCCGCCGCCATCCTTCAAAAAAAAAAAACAAGGCGGCGGCCGCAACCAATTATGATATCCGTAGTAACGTTCTAAAAAACGTTTACAAACTACGGTACGTTTTACACAAAACGTTAGGTTACACAACACTAGAATTTTGTATTTTGTACCGGGAGAAGTATTTTAGAAAGGTAATAATAATACGCTGTTCTCATAGGTTGTTCAACTCAGTTGGGAGTTGGGACGATGCGAAAACAAACACGGACACCCATTTCAAATATTGGAGTCAGTTTTAGCCAAGTAAAACTACTACTCTCTGAACGAGCTACATCAAAAGCTTGCAGGAAAAATTGTCAACCCAGATTTTCGTGCTAGAGGATATTGAAATAGTTAAATAGTTTAGAAGGAGACTGCAGGAGCAAGGACTATCGATTTGTCGAGAATCCGTTTTTTCGCTCAACACGAAAGGAAGTCATTTGTCCCTGGAATCCGAGAACAAAACCTCGTCTTTTGGGAGAAGGAAAATGGTGTCGATTCGCAGCATTCGCTGTCTCCTGCTGCTTTTCTCCCTTCCCCTTTTGTTGTCGAAGGTCACAAGTGTTCGAGGGATGGCGGCAGCGGCAGTTGCAAGCGGAGAAAAAACCTTTAGGCCAGGTTTCGACATGAATGTTCACCCTTCTAACATACATGCGGTCCTCGTCTCTACCAGCCGCTATTGGTTTAACTATAGGCATGCGATCAACGCCCTTGGAATGTACGAGCTGTTTCGAAAGAATGGAATCCCAGACGAGAACATCATCCTGAGTACGTACCGAGAACGGGTTCGCGCAACAAAATTTTCGTGAATTTATACTATTTTGGATACAACTATGCCTGCTTTTTTAACATCGAAAGTCTCAAGTCACGTTATCCTTCCTTTTTCCAAATGCTATTTTTCCGTACAGTGATCGCCGATGAATTTCCGATCAATGCTCGCAACCCTTTTAAGAATAGGATGCACGGAGAAGGTATAGAAGTCACCGGCTGGTACAACAATCGAACTGAAATAGATTATCGAGGTTCTGATGTGACGGTGCAAAACTTTTTAGACAGTATCTTGGGGTTTGCGCCAAAATCGCTTCAAAGCCTAAACGAAGAAAGCAACTTATTGATATACTTCACGGGTCATGGTGGAAATCAGTTTTTCAAATTCCAAGATGAGGTACGTAGCATTTGAGCACAGAAAGCGGAAACAGGATAGCGTTGTGTTTTTCTTTTCTGTTTCCAATTTGCTTACGAAAATCTTATCAATGCAGGAAGAACTCACGGCACAGGACATCGCGAACCTGATGGATAGATTGCAAGATGAAAAAAAATTCAAGAAAGCACTTTTGATAGGTAAGTTGGATCGGAAATGAGCCATTCCGAAACTTCCCAAGTCTATGTTTGGGTCTTACTCACGCTGGATTTATTTTTTGCTTTTCAGCCGACACATGTCAAGCATTTACAATATTCGACAAACTCACGACACCAAATGTCTTGGCGTTGGGAACTAGTTTGATTGACGAGAATGCATATGCGCACCGTAGTAAGTCAAGATTTGTTTTAATATAATTCGTATGCATTTTATGTCGACTGGATGATGTCTTCTTTCCAAACGACTGTGTGCACCATAATCTTCATGATGATATTCCATTTGTTTCTACTCGCCTTACAGTGCAGTTTTAATTTTAAATTTATTTAATTTAACGCAGCTGACAAGGATCTCGGACTTGGCGCTATTGAACGATGGACACATCATTTCATTAAAAACTATCGCAGCTCAGAGACAGATTTGGAGACTACATTGCACCAGGTCATGGTCGCCCCATTTGACAAGAGAAGTATTTTAATGGCGCGTGTTGGCATTACGAATCAAAGCAAATTCAAGAGCATTAAAGTGTCCGAATTCTTCGGAATCAAGGGAGTCATAGATGATGGTGTTGTAGATGATGCAGGAACGTTTGTCGAGATTGCGCCAGAAGCCTTGCTCAAGTTGCCACAGAATGTGCGAGACTTTACTTTGGCGCAGTCATCTCCGGTTGCAAAAGGAGTCACGGCGAATGTATGTTTTACGGAAGAAAAAGATGATCCGCTTCAACTGACCGGTGGTGGCGTCTGCCTGTTCTTTTGCGTGGTGCTCTTGACTCTGGTGTTGGTACAGAAACTGGAAAAACATTTGATGGAGATATGAGGGAGCTTGTCTAATCCTAAAATTTCATGGTTTCGAATTGTAAGAGTTTCCGTCCCATAACGTTAAGCTTGGCGATGTGACTAAAATTTGAGCAAGTAGAAATGGAAATAACAAGAGACGTTTTGGTTTGATACCTCGATCAAGGCGAATTTATTACTGTATTAGATAAAAACACTACATTGAAACATTGCTATTGCTGGGAAGGAGTAATTTCGATTCGTCTACATTTAGTAAACTTCGACATGCCATTGCTTGGCCTTCTTCAATTTCTTCAACCATTCATCATAGTCAATGCCCTTCTTTTCAGCAACTCCCTTCAGCATATCCTGGATTCCTGGCATCATTCCCTTCAGACCACAGAAGTAGATGTGGGCTCCGTTCTCGAGCTTGGTGAAAACTTCGTCGGCGTATTCCTCAACCTTGTCTTGAATGTACATCTTACCTCCCTTGGCGTTAGTTTGTTCACGGGAAAGAGCATAGTCAATTCGGAGGTTGTCGGGGAATCGGCTCTTGGCCTCTTGGAACTCGTCGTCATAAAGAAGGGCATCGGAGTTGGCAACTCCCAAGAACAACCAAGCTTCTCCCTTGTAAGCGCGAGCAGCTGGGGTGTCTTCATTAAAAAGTCGACGGATGAATCCACGGTAAGGAGCAATACCAGTACCGGTGGCAACCATGATATAGTCGGTGTTGGGATCTTCCTCGGGCATGAGCATGACCTTTCCAGCAGGTCCGGTCATGGTAATTTCGTCACCGGGGTTGGTGTCGCAAAGGAAGTTGGAGCAGATACCCTTCTTGGCAGGATCATCGGCCTTAAGCTCTGGGCACCAGTAAGTAGCGCGACGCACACACAAGGATCCAGTCTTTCCAGTCATATCATCACCATAACGAGAGGAAGCAATGGAGTAAAGACGGACGGCGTGGGGTTTTCCGTCCTTCTCTCGGGTTCCAGGGGGGATGACACCCCAGGATTGTCCTTCCCAGTAAGGAAAGTCTCCATTGTGATCGATGATAATGTGGCAAGTTTCCCCTGTAGCCTTTGGGCCAACAATGCGCTTGGTTGAAACAACCTTTCCAGTGAAAGGAGCCTTGTTCTTGTAAACATTGACAGGAACAGTCGATTGGTCCCAGTAAGGTTCGGCCTCCAAAAAGTCCTGGGCATTTCCTCCCATGGCCTTCATTCCAACAAGTCCAGCTCCGATAACAGCAGCTCCTCCAGCAATAATCTTTTTGGTGTTGTCAACAGTTTCGACAACTTCGACAGCCTTCTTGGCGGCATGGGCAGCACCAGGGGCACCGGCAGTGGCAAGGGCAAAGGATCCGGCAACTCCAGCGACCTTTCCAAGAGTCTATTAGTTTTCGTTGATTCGAGGTGTTAAGTATCGTTATTAAGTGGTAAATTGTTAACACAAAGAATATAAGTCTTCATTTGCTTTTGTCGATTACTTGTTTCACTCAAGTTTTACTATTTGTTGAATTATCCACAGGTGTAAACAATCTTACCTTCAAGGCGGCCTTTCTCTTCGAGCCATTGGCCATATCGAGGGCCACATCGGCACTTATAAATTCATAGGGAATAGAGCAAAATCAAAATAACGTTAGAGCCGTATATTGCCTCACATGATACAGACAGTATGTTTGATCAGAGCTGGTTGATTTCTTTGACATACCGACCCGAGTGGGAAACCTGTGGGGCAAACGCAGCGGACCCACTAACGAGGGCGAATAAGACGGCAGTTCGGACAAGCATCTTGATTTAGTCAGATTGTTGCAACAACAATATCGATATTCTGTACGATGTCTTCACAACACATGCGCCATTCACTTCAATCATGGATTAGAGGTGAGGGGAAACGACAGCTCCTGCTGTTTCGGAGGACGGAAAATCTTTCCTTCAATGTCTTTCTACGTTTCTTCAAAACCTACCTGGTAGTAAGACAAACGTCAGTGCGTCACGGGCACACACGGTCGGAAGTCGGAACCCTCACGTGTTTTCACTCACTGCCCGCCTCGCTCGAGATATTGTTGTGTCGTGGCATGACTCATGACCAATCATTCGTACCTATTGAAAATACGATAAGTAATAACATGAGTAATACGACGATTTTGTTTCACCCCCTTTTCGCAAAAATTATGTGTCATGAGTCATGAGCTGGTACGTACCGTACGGTACTCGTAATCCTAGTACCTAGGTACTTGTACATACGTAGTGGGGTACAGTACTTCGCTAGTATGAACTCTCCAAATTTATCCTGGTTAAACTACAAGTACCCCGGATACGAGTGCCAGTACTACGTACGACTTATGGAACTTTCTTTTTGCTACTAACTGCGGGTAGCACTACTTTAACCACGCCAACAAACTATATTTTGAATGATTGTAATCGGCATTTGGTACTATCTTTCTGTGGAAAAGAGATTACTACTTTATTAGCTTTTTTATGAGCTTGTTCTCGTCTACCGTTACTACAAGCAGCTACTTCGTTGTTTTACAGAATTCAAGTTTCCAGCAGACTGAATACATCGGAACAATTGAAATCGTATGTAAGCAATATCTAGTAGATACGTCTCTCAGTCGATGTTTTTTGAAGGCAAGAATTCAAAAGATGGGCGAAATATTGTGTTTTTCTTGCGATTCTGGTGGGTGTCGAGTAGATCCCTCCCGAACCTCATGGTGGGCATTATGGTAACAGAACAATCTATTTCCGGTTGCAGAATCAACGCGGGAAATTACTGGAATTTGTGTGTGCTGGAGACGATTCAATGGTCAGCCAAAAAATCCAAAATCGATATGAAAGAATCGATCGATGATTTTATCTTCAGTATTAGCCTGCTCAAGCTTGAGAAACACAAATCATTTTGTGACTGATTAGAAACCAGAAGGAAAATAGCCAGGAAACGCGACACATTTCTGAAACTAGAATTTCATTTCAGCGTTATCAGGTGACCTATCAGATGTTTAGTATGAATCCAAATGGCTGACATCAGGCATTGGAAAGCATGCTGCTTCACTGTATCGCTCATCATGGTATTTCGAAATCACTTGATTTAGTGGCTTTATACAAGGGTTGTTTTGTACAACATCGTCGTCCTCTTGAATCTTATTACAGATCACATTCGCGGTGTGTCGAATCTCCCTTTCACAAAATCCAGTATAGTTTATGATAATTTCCAACTTCATGACGAGGAAAGAAATTTGAAAAGTGAGGTTCAGACAAGCGGAAAAGAACGACCTCACAAAGAGTTCAATTTCTGACACCAAAATTTCGTACGTACCACTCTCGGGAGTTCCCCATCTGGGATTCCAGTGATCTCGATATTCTCTCGCACACCGGGATTATTCCAAGCCAAGCAAACAGCTGCGCTTGCAAGCAACGATGGTCGGAAGTTCAACATACAATACTCTTGTAGCATTCGTTCCGTGTAGAAGCTTGCCAAGTCTCTCACAATGTCTGGAGAATTAGTGATGTGCAAGAACCGCTGCAGGAATGGATAGGAAGTGGGAACCGTCATCTTGAAATCGAGAACCATTACAATTTCGAATTCCATATCCAAAACTTGCTGTGGAGTGTAGGCCCGATCGGTGATGTATACGCAATCCTTTACCTCAGGAGGATACTGTTCCTCGTATTTGGAAGCGACAAAAAGCGCTGTGACTCCAAGTAGCTGTAGGTGTTCACGAAGAATGCGAGCGAGAGAAAGATATCGATCGATTATATTCACGCACAGATACAGTGTTTCTGGCTGCAGGCGAAACTTCTTGTGCACAGCAACGAGCCAATCAACAAGCATTGCCCTCATCTTGCTGTTGATTCTCGATTGAATATCCGTCATGTATGATGCCGATGGCTTCGTAATTTCCTGGACAAGACAAACGATATTGAAAAAGCAGAGAAAGATTTGTTTCAGGCTGTTGCTGTTCTGCCAGAGAAGGAGAGGGGAGAAAAGACAAAGATTCTGCTCACAAACATATCGCACGTACCTCAGCATCAAATAATCGTTGAAAAATATCGGTGACATAGAAGGGCACCTCGTCAACTTTACGCTCATTTGGCTTATCAAAACTAGCAATGCCTGTAGTAAATTTGGATGGATCAAAGGGGCCTTCAATCTTCCGAGGGAGACAATGGTCATCTTCGGATGTTACTAGAAGATCCGGGCAACGGATGTTTGTTGAAGTCAAGGATACCACTGAGTCGGGAAGGAGGGATACCAAGACAGGGGAGTCTTCGCCTTGCACTGTTTGCACTTCTTGTTTTACTTCTATATCGGTCATAACAGATCGTTTCTTCTTTTTCTTCGACATTGTAAGCACCTTTTTTCTCGGCCTTTGATCGATATTTCTAGGCTTTGGTTCGAGAAGCATGGACTCAATAGAGAAGATTTCTTGATTTCTTCTCTTCTTAATTTTCTTTCCGCTTTTATTTGCATTATGGTTTACTTTTTCAGCCTCCAGCTTTCTATCTATGATCGATGTATTTGACACAGCACCATCAGAACAATTATTAGTTTGGGCAACAGGTAATCGCTTCTTTGGAAGTGCATTTCGTTTTGGTCTCTGTGCTTCCCCTATTTCCTCCCCGTTGCTAAGATTCTGATGCTGCCGGGGTACAACTTCCGCTGCCATTTTGGACAATCTTCGCGATCTTCGTAATGGTTGTTTTCCATTGTCGATTGGTACTGCCTCTTTATTCCCATTTGTTTGTGATTCTTCAACACGAGAACTCTTATTGGACACATCACCCTGCAGTCAGCGAGGTGTTGGGTTTTCGTACACAACAAGAAAAAGAGTCAGGGATAATCATGACGACGAAAATTACTCATTATTAGTTCTGCGGAGACCAAGCCCAGACATCAAAACAACGTCCACAAGAAATCCTGGAGAATCTTACCAATGCGCGTCGAGATTTTCTTGGTTTGTTGGTTATCAACCCATCTTCCATCATTCTCTGATCTTCTCTATCCTTTGGAACCTCCAGCAAAGGTATCGTCGATCGCTTTGATTTCATTTCGTTGGAATTATGCAAGTTCGAAAGATGCTGCTTGTTTTGTCGCTTTTCGCTGCTATTGTCTGACTGTACTAGTGCGGAACTCTTTCTATTGGTCGTGGTTTCCAAAATTTATCAAAATCCCTTTCCTGCTCTGGGAAGCCCCGTCCCCTATCCACAGTTGATGGTCCAAAAAATCGAGGTGATCTGTGATGATTCCATGCGGTTCGCATGCAATGACGAAAAAGCAGTAAGGGGCAGGAGTTTATTCAAAATTGCGTGTAGTCGTGTTCCAGGAAGGCCCAGACAATTAATTCCTACTTCATGATATCCAGAGCTAAGCGGGTACGTACGGGCGAGCTACCGTGTGACACCTTCACATTGTGCATCACATGGTAATTGGTGAATGATAAACGGATAACAATCGCGCGCGATAAGTGCAACCGACACGAGTTTTGAACTACATGATGGTATCATTAGAGCACGGTTAATCCTACGGTTTTATCGATTTGCGCGCGATAAGAGCAGGTCGACCCAGCGCAAAAGCGAGCCTTTCCAATAAAGTCAAACAAAGCATTACGAGTAACGTACGTACGAACTTATTTACTGTAATTGTCCCCGACCCCGAAACCATTATATAACGACCCCCTTTTTATCACAGTTAGCCATCAACGAAGAAATAAATCAGAGTAATTTTCGTCCGAACAGGAGGATGGTGGTGATGCATCAGCTAGTGCATGAAGTTGATTTATCCAGCGCACACACCATCGAAATTCAATCATTCAATTGACTTGGGAAATAATGATTTTGAGGAGAACTAGACTCAGAAGTATAAAATCTTGGACAGAGTCGCCGCATAAATTTTGCGACGGGCTACAATTTCAGTGGTCCGTTTCACTTGAGAGGATACAACCGACGATGATTCAGCGCACTTCCAGCCTTATACTTCTTTCTGTAATGTTAGCAACTGTTTTCTCTTCATTGACTAGCCCCTTGTTTTGTGGATTACTCTATTTAGAAGGATCGTATGCCCTCTCGCATTCGAATTGCTATAAGGGAAATCATTGCTTACTTCCTCCTACTATAGTTTCTTCCGGCAATAGAGCGATTACTGTTGCCATTCGAAGTGGTGCAATCACTAGTCAGACGTCGAACAGCGTTCTGCACATGGCAATTTCTTCAAAGGACTTGAAGAACGATACGAGTGTTCCAACGACGGAAATCACGAGTGGTGCCAACAAGAATAAGAAGCGGCAAAAATCAACCAACAATAACGACAAAGATACCGCCGAAGCAAGGCAGAGAGGAGCAAGAAAATTGAAACCAATTGGAAACAATGTGGTATCGCGACTCGCTAGGGCGGCCAAAGAGGCTGCCGCGGCAAAGAAAAGGAAGAAGAAAACGAAAAATTATGCCGAGAAAAACTATGCAAGTAGCAACTTGCGAAGAGAGAATGATCACAAAGTTGTAGATGACGACTTGTACTTTGACAACGACGATACAATGTTTGACAACGGCGGTGTACAAGATGAAGAGGAGCATCATGATTTATCCTCGATTACCAACTTGAACAAAGTTATCGACGAAGAACTATTGCGACACCCTGACGGATATAAGCCATCCCGAGAGACAGATTCGATACGAATCTTGCTAGAGCACAACAATAATCAAGATCGCAATAACGGCCGTACGGGTACAACTCTTCAAAAAAAATCAATCATTTCCTCGTCATCACCCTCAAAGTCTTCCTCATCCAAGCTCCGCAAGAAAAAAGATTCTAATTTAATACACAATGATGTAGCAATAGTATTCGCAAGGCCACTTGTCGAAGGTCAATTGACAATTGAATACGCCGTTCGATTAGTCTCTCTCGCAAAGGCCATGAAATTCGAAGGATACAAACCAAGTCTGATCTGCTTCTGCAGTCCAGCTTCTGCAAATGGGGCTTCTACTCTTTCTTCTCAATCAACGATCCGGTCTGCCTCAAAATCAAAAAGTGACGGTGTTACTTCGATGGGTTTTGAATTTTTCCGGCAACTGTGCGTGGCAAATGAAATATCACTCGATGGTACCAGCCTTTGTCCAATACCCAATGCATCATCCCAATCGATTTCTAGAAGCATTGACCAGCAATACGATAGTGATGACCCCAACGATACTTATCGCAGCACCTTTTCAACCCAGCATACTTCTACATCCTCCTTTCGTTCCTCCTGGTCCCCATTTTCACTCAGCCCTATAGTGAAAAAACTATTGGATAAAAAATACCTCGAGAAGTGGCTCGAAGAATCCCAAGACTACGAGTCGGACATGGACGAGTACGGTATGACGCGACAAGAACCTCGGAAAAAGATTCACATTCACTGGAAGTTGTTTAGTACTGAGTACGATTTGTGCAACCTAAACGACATTCACATCCGATCCCCGCGGCAATCGCCCTTGGCTAGACTTGTGCATGATCTCGAACATGCGGCGAACAGCGAACACTATCGAAGGGGAATCATACGAACGACGTGGTCCTATCACTACTCTATCTACCCCTACGTTGTATCTTCCAACACGGAGAAAATGAAGGAGGCCTTTTTGGGCAAGTGTTACCTCATGGCACAGGCGTTGCTGCCTCTTTTGGTCAATCTCAAGGGGGTAGCAGACAATGTAAGTTTGTTCTGCACCAAGTTCTTTTTGTATGTGGTCTAGTATGAATTAAATGGAAGCGAGGTTACTTTCTCTAGCTTTTTCGTGCTCATCCCAACCCAAATACTGCTTGTAACAATAACACAGTCAGAATTTTTCCAGCGCGATAATTACCGCACATTGGTTGCCACGCGTCGCTCCCTGGCCACGCTGCTCGAGGAGATGAACGAAGCCTATCGGGACAACAGGGAGCGACAGGCGGCTTCGATCGTGATCCCCCCAACCCTTAAGGCCCAATTGAAAAAACAAACCTCCGAATCTTCGGCTACGATTAGTAGCATCGAGATTCACCTGGAATGTGCCCTTTTGTCACTGGGTCGGTGTTGCGATCTGGTGCGCCCCGCGGGGACCTTCTCGGAGCAATCTGTCTCACGACAAGGGTGGAAAGATGCCCTATTGCACCTGCAAGACTTTATGGTTCGAATCGAGGGCAACTGCGATCCTGATCGTCCTGTCTCGGCAGACCAATGGGGCGGAAAAATCATCGAGAATCGATCGGTGATTGAGTTGTTGTCTTGAGCAGGGAGTTGCAGACCATGTTTCGACCTCTGCGATTTGCAACCCAAAAAATTCCAGACACGCTGTTCCGATAGCAGCAACTGCATAAAGGCTTAAAATCTATCCATGACCAGGTGTGTTGTTCCGACGACGCTGTTGGCGTTTCCGAACCAACAGCGCCGTTCTGGGACAGCTGACTACTCTAGTGATCGACCCAAAAGGTTGGATCTATGCAGACAGAAAAGCAACAACAAGGAGCGAGGAGATAATCTCAATGATTTCTTGAGAAATCAATACTAGGAGGAGAAGCAAGGGTAATTGTTCCAACAGTTTGTTGATGCATCATTGGGTCAGTAACAACTGCCATGTATTCTGGCATAAGCAGTTGCTGGTGGAAAATTATGAAAATCTCTTTTAAGAGTAGGAGTGCAAGAAAACATCCACCAGAGAACAATAAGATGTCTATTTCCTTAATTGCTCCTACTAGAAAATCAGACCTAATCTCCTTTGCTAGAAAGGATATTTCAGGATATCTGTTGTGGCGTTTTGCACAAGTAAAGCAAGCAGGTGATGATGGGAACTAGGAAATCAACAACATCGTCAACAAAAACAACAACATGGAGTTTAAATCTTAATCGAAAATCTCACACAGTATTTGTACAGAGGTAGGCTATCAAGTGTTTAACAATATCCAACCTTTGGTACTGTATCCACAACCTCCTGGATGGCCTTCTGAGCGGATCATGGATTAGTAAAAACCCACCACTGTTGGCTATGGTGCACTTAACTACCACTTTTCACTTGTGCAGTAGCCAGTGACCTTGAAGAATTCTCACTACTTTGGACTTCTGGAAGAAACAAAAAGATTTTTGTGGGTGTACTAGAATCCATGTCGGCCTCAGTACCCCAATTAGCAAATAAATTAGTACGTTGACAAAAACAATTTTATATTTTTAGTTATAATACTAGTGGTACTACTAGTTGCACTAGTTCAGACAAAAATACTTAGAGCAGTCATTTCAAAATAAAAGAGAACTCCATTCTCAAGACTTCATGTTCAGTGCTTTGCTCCCACAGAGCAGTATATGAGCACAAAAACAAGAATTCAATCAACAAGAAGGCTCCTAGAACCAATGGGGAATAGGAACCTGAATGAAGATTGTTGGATCTGAGATTCAATACTGGGAAAGGTGGTTCATAAAAAGATTTGCCAACTAATGTTGCTCTGATAGTACTAGCAGTAGTGTTTTGCAATATTGAGACTCTTCTTGGAGTCTTTCTCTGGAGGAGTAACACAACCAGTGTTAAACTATTCTGCAACAAAGCCAGTCAAGGTTTTAATGCAAATAGAAAGGAATCCAATAGTTGCCATTGCCTTCCTCAAGGATAGTATGTTACTACTATGATTGCAATGGCAGGAAAGTCAACTGGTATGAGAACAGTAGACAATATGGATACTATCTTCCTGCTGCTGGTGGGAACAGATACAGCCCGAGTCACTAGTAAATCTACCCTTCAATTGCTTCAGAACTGTAGCACCATTGGTAGGAGGATGCCATGATTGCTATAACACTTGTTGACAAGGACATTGCTTCCCATCAGCAATGCAGCCAAGAATAGCTTTACTGCTGGGAGTTACTACTAGTAGTAGTGCAAACCTCATTGTCATAGCATTCATGACAATTATGGTTACTATCAACATGAATGATCAATTAGGAAAAGAGACTAGTACTAGTACTAGTACTACTACTAGTAGTAGTGCATCAGACGACAAGGAGGAAGATTAGTAGTACTAGTACTAGTACTACTAGTAGGAGTAATTGATGTACTATCAAGTACATCCATCATAGAAAATCTCAAGGCAACCAGCATGAACCAAGAACAGTTGGTCTGTTTTCTGTCAGAAACAACAACAAAGAGCCAGATTGCTTTTATTGATTCTTTGCTTCTAATTTCTTCTTATCAGAGCCATACTTTTCCACCTTGCTGGCATTCACTTTTTGTTGTTACTAGTTTTTGTACCGTAAAAACTAGAAGTACCTGGTAATTTCGTAAGCGACCCAATTTGTGATTCCTTGGAACCATGTTGATTTCAATTTTTTTTTGAAAAATTAGATTCCCAGGCCCCCCTCCTGGTACCAAGAATTGTGATCAGTTTTGATCACAAAAAAATGTGATCAGAAATAACAAATTTGTGATCAGTTTCTTTGTGATAAATCTTGATCACAAATTTGAACTAATTTGTGTGCATTTTCTACTAATCCTGTTTTTATGTTAGATTTTAATATCCTAATATAAATAATACCAGTATTTTTACACGTTTGTACTACTACTAGTACTAGTACACCAGTCCTGTTCTAAGAACATAGTAATATCATGCCTTATGAAGAATTAAGGCGACGTGCTACTACAAATATGATTATAAAGAATGAATATATATAGTATACTACATTGATATATTCCTACGTCACATAAACCGTTTTCATGGTGTCGCGCTAATCGCGCGGTAAAGGAGCCTCTAATATCATAGTTACCCCCGGTTATTTCTTGCCCGCGTTGTTTTTTCATTTGTGTATCACCGTTCTATCTTGTCTCGCAATATATTTTCTTGAAAACAATAATATTTTCATCATGTGCAAGATATCACATATCGGTAGCCTTCGAAACAACCATTTGTGTTGGAAAAAAGAATATGTCACCTCTCATGATTTCTTATTTTCCAATTTTGCTACCTGTCTATATTCTTCACTGTGTTAAGAACCCATCAAACACAACAACTTACTAATTAATCTGTCATGGGTCGGTCGCCCAAGCTAAGAGTTTTCTGCCGATGGTGTTACAAAAAGGAAGAACAGAACAACAAATCGAAAAAAAACGCAAGTGACCCAAACTTTTCTCTGCAACTAGTAGAAGGCAAAAGGACGGTGTTGTAACGTCACGACAGCTCTTACGTCATCTAAGTGACAACGACGACTGCTCTTACCACTACGGTTATCGCTTGGGCGCTGTAAAGGATTTCTCTAGCTCCGTTTTTGATCCTGGAAAATTTCAGGCTCGCCTTGACCACAAATTCTGTCTTACGAATACCCAAAATGACCCAGGTTCTGCTTTGCCAGAAAATCTTGATTCGCAGGTTATGTTTGACCCAACCTGTCCACGCATTGACCGTGATTTGTTGGAGGATGAGATCGATAACGCTACATCCTCCTTTGAACCTTCGTCCCCTTTCTCTGTTGTCGACAATTCCGAGAAAACACACAACAATGTGCTAGACAGCAATGAACGCCATTCCCTGTCAAATTTGAACCAACCGACTCCACAACGTATTTCCGTTCCTCCCATATCTACGCCCAATCACCACC